AGAACTAAGAGGAAAGGAACATCTATAAAAGATAAGGAAGCCACACCAAAGAAAAAGTAAAGAGGTATATCTGACCTTACTATAAATTGGAATCTACATTCTGTGCAGAGAACATTCGTTATCACCAAGGTGACATTTTAGAAACATGAAACATTTGAAGCTCTGAAATATCAGGAACAGGAAGACAAGAGGAAAAATTAAAACAGGTCCACGGTTTTCAAGTTTTCTGGTCAAAACAGATAAAAATCTGAGGTCAATATTCCTTATGTCTTTAAGAACATGGGCCTTCAGTCAGAGAGGGGTTGCCTCGAGGTTTCATTTTGTTTCCTTCCTTTCTTCCTGAAGTATGTTTAATCTTAAGCTAGTTCACCAGTTTCATGACATCTCCAGGTCAAGAGGGGTAATTTCATGCCATTTAACCAAGTTGGGGAAATGTCTGAATGGCAGTGATAATATTCTGACTCCTGGTTTGGGTGTTCTAATGTCTGTCACAACATGAAAGGTATTCATTTAACAGAGACACAACAGAATTGGATAAACAAAACACATCTATAACTGAATAATTGCACGGGTTAGTGAGAGTGGTTTCCTCTTATTCAATTAAAGGTTATATATATATATATATATATATATGCCAAATAAAATTATAAACTTGCCGTAGTTGTTTCCCCTCATCCCATGGTTTACAGGCTGGGAAGGAGTTCTTTTTTTAAAAAAAAAAAAAAAAATCCACTACATTGAAATATATATAAGTATACATAAGTCATATACCAAACTATGTGATTCACCCAGTTAAAGCGTACAATTCAGTGCTTTTTAGCATAGTCACAGAATTATGTAACCTTGACCATAATCTGATTTTAGAACATATTTATCTCTCTTAAAAGAAACTCTGTATTCATTAGCTGTCATTTCCCTTTCTCTCAACATCCTTTCTCTAGCCCTAAGCAATGCACTAATCTATATTATGTCTCTATAAATTAGGAAAATTATCTTTTGATTGCCATCCATAGACTATCCTACTGAAATTTGTTTTGTTTTGTTTTACATAATTGTAACTTGTAACATGAGAAAATAGAATAGCGCCCTCAGAATCATGAATAGATAGCAAAATAAATTGTAACGGGCTGGATAACTAACCAACAAAGATGTCATTGAAACTGATAGCATCTGAGGGCTTAAATAAATAATTGCCCAGCAATAAGCCACAGAAATGATGAAGGGAATGGTATCATTTAAGAGAGACTAATGTTAAGTAACAGCTTACAGCAGGCTTCAATTGCAGAAACTTCTCTTATTCATAAGATCAGTGATATGTGCAGTTAGGGATATTTGCAAATTCAAATCCTGACTCCATTGATCATCAACTGTGACTCTGGACAAGTGATAGAAAATTATAAACTTCAGTTTCCTCCTTGGCAATATGAGAATAATGATGGTACCAACCTCGTGGAGTTAGCATCAAGATTAATACATGTAAGGCTTTTAGAACCATGCCTGGCACACAAGAAGTGCTCAGTATTATAGCTTTTATTTATAAAAACTCCAATATTTAAGTCAAATTCCAAAATAGAATTATGAGACATGCCAACTTGCCCCTTACCACGTGATTAATATGTTCCAAGTCTCTATTAAAAGAAGTTCCCATTCTCTAAAGATTCCTGCCAGGAAAGCAATGGATTGGGATTTAAGACACTGTAATATAGAAAGAATAGGATTGATCAAGAATGATTAAGAATAGAACTGTAAGCCACCCCTCAGTTCCTTTAGAAGTATGTATCCTATAAATAGTAAAAGTGCTAATTTATTATTCTCACCTAACACTCGTGTAACAGATTTTGCTTTTCTAAATTAAAAGAAAAAATTACAGCAGCAAAGAAATTTATATAATGGTATTGTTCTAATAAAAAAAGTGTTAAAACATTATGAACCCGATACATTCTCTTATACTCGATATGTTTAAGTAAGACCCTTTAAAGGTGTGACTTTAACTCTGAGTATAAACTGAGGTTGGGATTTGGTTTTGTGTTCATAAATCTAAGGACACTGAACCACCAATTCCACTTCCTTCTCTTTAATTCCAATGCAAAATGGATTGATATGTTAGATAATTTTATTTTGGAGTGTTATGTATTTTCTGTTCTTTTAAAAAGTGTGGTGTTCAGTATTATTATGTCCCAATCAGATGACTCATGATACACAACATTTTCATAGTTGGGAAATGTTAACACATTACATTCCTTGCTTTGAAAAGATAAGGGACTTAATCACAGACAACACATTTTCATTTTCCTTTGATCCCGTGACACAATTTAAATGATGTGGTTTGCATGCAGCCTCCTTTGGGGCCCCAAAGTCCTTTATGTTGTCCATCTGTGTCTACATTTTGACTTCAGGCTTTACTCCTTTTTGGCACTTTTTGTATTTGCATGAAAATTTGTATTATTTTTGCATGACAAGTCATCCGTAATGTTGAAGTTATATGTCTAACATACTTTGCAATATCACATGTCATTAATTCTTACATGGTATATTTTTTTTCCTTTATTTTCAGTTACTAAAGTTTAGATATGCTTGAAATGTAAAAGTGGCATGAAACTGGAGTGATGCAAGAATAATTAATGTTCTTTTAAGGACCTATCATTTTTCAACTGAGAAAATTTGAGGGGAGTTTCTAGCCTTCTCTTTGGATACTAATCCTTAATTACAAATTATAACACCATACTGAACATAGGAACTTTCAGCAGAATAATAAATTCCCAAGTGATTCCTCTTTTGCCCCTGAGAACTATTTTTTTTTTTTTTTTCAGTCCTTGCATATGGCGTATCCAATTTGGCCCTATTTTCAGATATTAATAAATATCATGTTTTATTGTTTTGTTTTGTTTTTTTAATCTCCACTGATTTTGGCAACAGTTCCTAGTGTCTACAAAAGCCAGGATTTGCTGAATGATACTACCAAAATTTTAGTGCTTTAATGTTTTCTAAATGAACACAATTACCAAAATGGATATGTAATATGGGAGTGCATGAGTATGCAAAGAAAGTAAAGTCATTAACACTATTTTGTCAAGCTTCATATCCACAAGAAAAGGCATGGATTTCCACCAATGGCCCAAATGTACACATCCAAAAATGTACACATCCAAACAATTACTCTTTCCTTCCAAGTCGTCACCTTGCTAGCTCTACCTTTATTCCTTCAGCTGTCATTGCTAAACCTGTTTTACAACACTCCTTTCAAACTCCCTTCAGAGTCTTTGGCACATTCATTTTAATAATACCTATGTGACAGCAAATGTTGTTTCTTGGATAGTGATTTTAATTTTATTAAGCAGCTAAAAGACCTTGAGAGCCAATCAGTCAAGTAAGTCTTATAATCAAGCTGGTGAAACATATTAATCTCTTACTCACATATCATTTTAAAAATAAGACTTGCATGGCCTATAGTTTGCAATACGACTGTGAACACATTTCCCAAAAAAAAAAAACCCACAAAGCATTTACAGAGTAACAGCAGCAGTGGAGCAAATGGAGGTTTCTTAAGGGGGTCTTCTGGGCAAGCACATGATACTCACTTCTGAGAAGAAAACTAAAAACTAGTTTCCCTGAAAAGGTTTTTTTACCTGATGATAATGATAAAGATGCTATTTGTACCACACTTAACCTTTACATTGCCTTATGTGAGACTCAGTCTAAGAGCTGCCATCATTATCCTCATTTTGCAGGTTAAGACAATGAGGTTCAGAGAGATTAATTTACCTGTCTGAGGTCAGGGGCTGGCAAGGTATAGAGCCAGGATAGAGACCCTGGGTCTTCTTTTAAGACCCTTTTCCTCCATCACAATTTATCTGCAACCAGTCTTGCATTTAGAAGACAATTTTTCTAGGTGTCATCATGCAGAATTTACACCCCTAGAAAATAAAATCTGACCTTTAGGGACTCTCTGGCACCTCTTTTGAGTACCCACTTGCGTCACAACAGCTCTCTCTGCTTTTACAAACTAGTTGTTTTGTCAGCATGAGTGTGACAACAATTAGACGTCCCCTGTTTTTGCCCCATGCCTTTTCTCCTTCACAGTCATTCAATGACAAGCGTAAAAAGAGCTTCATCTTTTCACGAAAATTCCCATTCTACAAGAACAAGGAGCAGAGTGAGCAGGAAACCAGTGATCCTGAACGTAAGTAGATTCTCAAAGATAATGTCACATGCCACACAAGAGAAAAAAAATCCTTCAAGGGCAACACGCATGATATAGGCTCCTCCACGTCACACGCCTAGGCAAACAAACACTGCAGGCAGGCAGGTCAGGTCTTACTACTGTGACCAGTGTTTGACTGCAGTCTGGATCCTTCCCTTGATTCTGCTTTTCTTTGCAGAAAGCATTGGAGAGAAACTTGTGGGAACTGAGACTTAGTTCCAGCCAGGATTTATCTGTGACCAGAACTGGGTCTGGTTTGACTTTTCTCTCATGCAACTCTAGGGCTTGAGACAAATTATTTTCTGGGCAAGAATATGAGATTCTATTGCCACATATGTATTTATTTTTTTGAATGCCATCTAATCACCTATATTGATTATTAGCATATTTGCCCATTCTTCCCTGCCATCAAATATTAAATACTGACTTGGTGAGCAATGAAATTATATTAATGGATACTAAATCTAAGAATGTGCCATGAAATTTGGAGTGGATCATTATTTTATGTAGTGCATTTCTGTGGCAACATTGATAGTAGGCAAAAAATTGCTAAATGAATGTTTCATGATTTGTTTAAACGTTTTGGGTGCTTTACAAATCAGCAAGAAATTTCCTTCTTGAGTCTCAGCCCAGGAGATCTGGGGTAAAAATTGTTTCAAAAGGAGAGAGAGTAGGATCCAGATTGTTTAGGCAACACAGTCTGTCATGGTAGTACCCATTTCAACTCCACTGACTTCTTCCTTCCTCTTCCGTGGCTGTTCTTCCTCTCTCATTGCTCTCTCTGGGGACTTCCATGCAGGACATCCCCGGATTAGGTGACGACGGTTATGGAACAAAGACTCTGAGTAAGTTCCCAGGAATGGTCACTGTAACTTTTCTTTTCTTTTCCTTTCCTTTTGAGTTTGGCTTTTGTTCCTTTTCTTGAGGAACTTTCACTCCTAGCATGCACAAGATACAAGTTTTATTTGTTACCTAGCTGTGAATGCTCCTAAAAAGTAATTTTCAATCGTTTTGTTCTGCATGTCAGCATTTAAAAGCAAAGTGTGTCAGGCACTCTAACTTCTGTTGCAGTTAACACCCTCCCTTTCTGACCGTGTGTTAATGTCAACATGGTCCTGATGCCAACTGTTGCATCACTTGCTCTGTTGCCTAATATCTGCCAGAGAGCAAGAAACCATGTTGAAAGAAAGGGTGAGCTAAACGTTCTAGAAAAGGAAAGTAGAAACGTTTATGTTCTTTCTTCTGCCTTTTCACACGGAAATATTTAATAACCTTGCCAAATTCCATAATTGCGTTGTACTTGCTATTAGTAAAGGAGCTATTTTATAGTCAAGAGGAACATGTATTCTCAAAAAGTAAATATTAAGCTATCTGATCTTCCATGAATAATTCTTTGTTATCTAACTTTGACTGATTTTTTTTTCTGACTTGCAGTGATCCTGCTTGCAACGTTTGTATGATAAAGTTTTAGATATGTATTAATGTTTTTCTATCAATGATTTATTAGCTGCCTTGCATAATCAGATTTTATAGATGTAGTAAAATATAAAATACATTCAACTTTCAAATTCTCTAGTTATGTGTCTCACTGCTTTGAGCAATTACAAAATAATAATCCCATGTATGAATATACTATAATCTTTATTTAATACTAACTCCATTGTGTAGACACCAATGAAATAAGAACACAGTTTTTTGTCTTTTGCAACTGTATCATATGCTTATTGGTTTCTCTGGGCTTTTTTGTTTTTGCTTTTTTTTTTTTTTTAATTTAACAACTATGGGCAATATTTTTAGAAGCTGTTCATTTCATTTGTGTAAACAAAATAGCACTGAGCTGGACTTTATTTGCAAGAGCTGTGCAATGATCTTCATCCTTCTAATTCCTTCTAATTGTTCATTTAAACACATTTTCTTATATAAGAGAAAACAACATCTAATCAAGAGTAACTACTGATCTCCTTAAAGATGAAAACTTTATCTTTTAAGAAAAATGTCATGACATACTTCATATTAAATGTGTGGCTAAAATTCAAATACTGATTCTAACATTATCTGGATAGCATTAAGGACAGAGAAAGTTTGTAAATTTTCAATTGAGGGGGAAAAGGAAGCATTTTTATATTATGTTGAGGCAGATCCAACTCATAAAGATGCTTCCTTGTGTTTCCAAGGCAGTATCACTACAGAAGTAGATTGCCCAATCTTCCTTCTGAGGAGTGGCTGGTGGGTTTAAACTACCAGCCTTCTGGTTACCAGCCAGATACCTTAGGCACTACGCTACCAGAATTCCCCATTTTTATATTACTATTGATAAATGAAAGGAGCTCTGGTGGTATAGTGGATAAAGCGGTTGACTGCTAACTAGATGGTAGGTGTTTCAAATCCACCAGCTGCTCCATGGAAGGAAGATTGGGCTATCTACTTCCGTAAAGATTTTACAACCTTGGAAACCCAGTGGGGGTTGCTATGAGTCAGAAATGACTTGATGACAGTGAGTTTGTTTTTTGGAGGGAGTATTGATAAATGAACATCACTAAAAAAACAGTTGCCACTAGAGTGTCAAAAATACAAATGATGCCCTTTTAAATACTGAATGTGCAAATGTTTATTCTTTAAAAACTGAACAGATTTTGCTAGGTAAAATTACTTTCCAATTAACGCTAATGTTGACAATAATTTGGACTTTAGTTAAAACTTATTTTAAAGTTTCTATCTATGAAATGGAAAAATTCTGACATACAATATCTAGACACTAATAAAGATTGGCTGTTAAATAAAGCACATTTATTATATATATAATTATAGGACAGGTGACGTGACTTCTGAAATTTAGGAACTTCTTTAGGAACTTCTCTTCCTAAATTTCTCCATAAATAGTATAGCTCATTCTAAATTATTTAAAAAATATCATCCCCAGTTCAAGGGATTTAAGACAATAATATTCCCTTTGTATATATATGAAGATACATTATTGTTGGCTTGACTTTTCAGTAACAGTAAACAAATCCATCCTACTTCTTTTCCTAGTGCCACTCAGCAGTTATAAAATGTTTGCCTAAATTAGGGATGCAGTTCTACCATAGAGCACAGAAATAGAGAAATGATTCATGTGAATTTAACTCATGCTTTGGTTTTCATTAGTTTCCTGCTGTAAAACTAACTGATTCAACTGGCAAGAATCTGCACTATCAAATACATTTTAAAGCACTTTTGTTTCTTTAACAGGGAATAATGTTATATGTTTTTCTTTCTAAAAATGTATTTAACAGCTGTCACTTACAAAAAATAAGTAAACTGACATTACTGCTAATGAGCTTCAGAAGTCAAGTCACCTGTCCTATAATTAACTTGATACACAAAGAGTTTGATAAGTTGGTGAGTTTATATTCTATAATTTAATAAATAGTACAGATGAAAAGAATTAACATTGGAAAGAAACTCTTTTTTTTCTGGCATATAACCATTAAGTTCCTGTTATGTTAGCTAAACTGTTTTTTATGAAAAGCCAATTTGTAGTATCACCATGCAATTTAGTCATCCAACAGAAATTAAAAACACACTCTTGCTCTAGGACCTTAACACCTTCCCATTCTACAAGAATGGCCATTTATCTCCTGCCTGTTCCAAAAACCCAGTAACTACACAACCAAGGATCTTAAAATAAAACAGTTTTCACCAGCTCATTTCTTCCTCCAAGATTTTCTACTCACTCCTGAAGCCAAAAAAAAGTTTACAACAATCCTCTTTTTATCCTGAGAATTCGTTTAGAAACCATTTAAACAGAAATAAAACTCAAGGGATACCAGGGATCAATATTGCATTCCAGGATTTGAAATGCAATATTCCTGAAAAATGCAGAAACATAAAAGCCAGCAAGAAAACTGCCTACACACCAGAAACTGATGAATTTGGAGCCAAGAATTATCTAGTCAAGACACACTGGCCTTTGTTATATGATGCTGGACAATCAGAGCTAAATGAATGGGTCTAAGTATTTATAGGGAGCTCTGGTAGCATAATGGCTAAAGCACTCGACTGCTAACCAGAAGGCTGGCAGTTCAAACCCACCAGCCACTCCTTGGAAGGAAGGTTGGGCAATCCTACTTCTGTAGTGATACTGCCTCGGAAACCCAAGGAGGGGTCGCTATGAGTCGGGGGCGACTCGACAGCAAACAACAACAACAACAACAAGTATTTATAAGGAGCTCTGGTGGCATAGTGCCTAAGGCATTTGACTGCTAACCAGAAGGCTGGTGGTTCAAACCCCCCAGCCACTGTGTGGAAGGAAGGTTAGGCAATCTACTTCTATAGTGATACCGCCTCAGAAACCCAAGGAGGGGTCGCTATGAGTCGGATCTGACTCGATGGCAATGAGTACATTTCTTAGTATGACATTATACTTTGTTGGAATTAAAGATTGTTTCCTTATTTGCTAAAAAGAAGGTACTGCAATATGTCCTGGTAAAATAGAGATAAAGTTTTCATCTTCTTTATCTTATCTATGCATTTTCTTAAGGCAGTCTCCTCTGTGGCCTTTTACTTGCCTTTTGCTCACATTTCCAATAGCCTTGCATGAGTGTATTCCTTTAAGTTCTGGCTGCTTGGTATCTCTTTAATTTGCTGTGCTGTTCTTGCAGAACATGTTTCTTCTAATGCCAGCGATAGCGAGAGTAGCTACCGTAAGTTATTGCTTTGGTTTGTGATTCTTTTCTTTGCAATTGCCTGTGGTGGTCATTTCAGACTTTTGTTGTTGTTTTCAATTACTGCCCTTTATCATCTTTATCTGAAGCAAATGGCTTGAAATGAAATCATTTGATGTGGAAAGATATAATAGTCGCTAGGACCATCAGCAGATTCTTATGTGATTTGTGCTAGCAACAGCAGCAGTCTTGCTAATAAACAATTTCACCTTCATTTGGTTGTGGCCCAGCAATTCAATTCTCTCAAAAAAGGTAGGGGAAAAGTTTGGCCCAGTGAATTCTGACATTCTCCATACACCCCAATTTTTTGCAGTGTTCCTTCCCCTCCCTTTCCACCTCTGGTAACAAACAAAGTTTCCTTCCCAGGGTTTTTTTTTTTTTCTCCAAACTCCCTCCAAGAAGATTGAAAAGTCATCATGGTTCTATTTTTCATCTTATTTTGCCTTTTCCTTTCTTTTTCTGGATCCCTTTATAAGAGAAATCTTTATAAACTGCCGTGTTTCTTTTATATCAAGTGTGAAGCTTTTGTATCACTTCTGGTCCTGATTAATATTTTAAGATACATATATCTAACTTAATTTTTTGGTAACGGGGAAGTGATGAAAAGTTTCATCCTCTAATGTTGAAGGAGCGCACATTTAAAAAAAAAAAGTGATCAAATCTTGGATTAGGTAAGAATCTAAGGAAAGGTAGGTAACTTTTTAAAAATTATTTTTGGCCTTGGTTTGGTCACCTCAAGCCATTTGCTTAGTATATAGAAATATTCACCAAGCACATGCTTTTATCAGTTCTTATGGTTTCTTACCACCTACTTTCGGTTTTTGGTGACTAAAATAGGTACATATTATTACTAGGATCCTTACTATTTCTATAATATTAATTTCTATTTCTTAGTGAATGGATTACCCAAGAAGTAATTGCCAAGGATATTAGAAAACTGCAGGCCCAACATACGTGACCCACAACTACCAAAAGATAAACGGGCATTGTCTTTGCCTGAATATAGTAGGAATTGAAAACCAGAAAAGTTTTGTTTTGTTTTCCCCTTAATAGCATGGTACTTTACAAAACCCTGCTTTGTTGTTGTTGTTGTTAAGATGGAGAGCCAAATAGTATTCTTGGAGTACAGCAAATGAAATGCAGTTAGGATTTTGAGAAAGGCTTTGAAGAATTGGATTGGTGGCAAGTAGGGAAAAAAAAGTACAAAAATGAAAAGACAGCAGATACAGAACAGTGATAGAAACCACTGATTGAAATGGAAAACTATGATTAGATACCCTTGATCAACTTACAGCAACAAATAGTGTTAGAACTAATTTTTATCCTCAACCTAAGGCACTTAACATTTTTATATTCCTCCTATGCTGATAACTTTATGAATATCCCAACTTGGGAAAAATTTTGTCTCCCTCTTCTCATTTTTTTAAATACAAAGAATCCAGGCCAAGAAAGAATAAACAAGCTTATCTTCCTAACACTTGAACTACCCTCAATTTAGTAGGAGGAAAAATATAACTTGTTTGTTGGATTTTACGAACACCAATGGTACAAATTTCTTCATTTTTCAGTTTTTAATTTTCAAGTGCTTTGTTTCCATCCATTAGATACAGGAATAGAGAAAGAAAATATCATGTCTTGTTCTTTATGAAAACTATATCATTTTTCTTTAGAAATCCTACCTGTTTAGAGGCCCAAAACCTACTACCATCAAGTCAATTCTGACTCCTAGTAAATCTATAGGACAGAGTACAATTGCCACATCTTTCTCCCATAGAACAGCTGGTGACTTCAAACCACCCACCTTTTGATTAATAGCACCACAGGGCTCCCTTTTAGAGGCTATTCTTTCTCTATTTCCAAGATGGGAATGTTCTTCCCAAGATCATTAAATTACTAGGCCAAGGCTTTCAGCTACTTGACAAGTTTTTCATAGTGATGCTCTAATCTAACATAAATCATTCTTTTCACTCCTAAATTATAGTCTACATAAATGTTTTTTGAGTTTATTGAATGAATAAATTTGGAAGAAGCTAGAATTATCTATGATAAGAAAGAAGATTTGAAACTGGATTCTATGATATATTTAGGGCAAGTGGGAAGACTAATAATCCATATTGGTTTGGGTCTCTTCTGAGGTACAGGAGGCAGCCACTCAGGTTTACTTTTTTTTTTTTTTTTTTTTTTAATAAAAAAGTAGAGGAGCATTTGTCACAGCTCAGAAGAGGGGGAAAAGGTCATTTCTTTCTCCAAGTTGGAATGTGAGGAATATTCATTTACTTACTCAATATGTTCTATGTACCAGGCACTCTTCACAGGTACCACGGGGCCCAATATGAGATCACCAAACTCTGGAATTCGGTACACATTGACAGGAAGAGAGAGATCACTAAATAAAAATGTGCACAAAAGTGTGACAGATGGTAGGATAGATGTCTGCCCCAGAATAGTGGGGACTTCTGACACTGCAGACAGTGTGAGAGAGGAAGTGGCCTTTGGGCTTAATTTTGGTAAGATGAGGCACTTGCCAGCTAGACAAGATACGGAAGGATCTTTTCAGTAAGAGCAGTGGTATAATGAAAATCACAGAGGTTTAGAAAGAGATGCCTTCCAGAAAGTACCACACCATTGACATCGAGCCAGCCTGCATTTTTCTGCATTCCTGGCTTTATGGTATAATTACAACTCCTTTTTTTGTCTTGTGAATTTCTGTATACAAAAATATTTTTAAAAGACCCTCTGCCAACTGATATGCAGGTGTTTTTACTCTTAGAATGATTCCATGTTCACTCTGGGAGTAAAATGGCTAAAAAGTTATCAGTAGTCAGAAAGGCCCAGGCAGTGTTCACACTGCATTCACATTGTGGCACCCTTGCTTGAAAGCCTCATACCTTTCCTGAGATACACAGACACACACATAATGAACCTTAATTTGGAATAAGTAGCTCAGATCTTTGCTGCACATTCTCAAGTATTACAGAATAATTATTCTTTTATGGGACACCAGTTAAAATGAAGATAATTACAATGCATTTTCTAATTATGCAAACTGCCATATCAAAATTATCTTATTTACAGGATAACTCCCAATTTCTATCTATCAACAAAGTAGTAAAGTGTAAACTTGTGTTTGTGGTTTTATATCATACTTTTCAATTGCCCTTGTATCAGGAGGCAATAAAGACCAAGGTACAATGGGGACCAGGCAAGCCTCTACCACAGCTAAACATCCATCTTCCTCACAGTTCTATAAAGCTCTTCAAGTTATTATGGGTATAAGGGAGTTAGTGAGTATCCATCTAACCCACTGGTGCTCATCAGTTAAGTAGTATTTTTTTAAAAAAATAAGCTTTGAAGAAATTACCAAAATGAAATGGAGATGTTGAGATGAGGAATTTCAAGACTTCTCCAACAGAGTAAGTCAAATGGCACCCATATTCTCCACTCTTCTCAAGTACTGCCCTTGAGAATAGTTCTTTAGTCTTTATAAAGCCGTTTCATTACATCTATTATCTCATTTGATTTCTGCAACAAAACTATGAGATAGCTCTTATATTGATAGTCCTATTTACAGATGAAGAAACTGAAGCTCTAAGAAGCTACTTAGCTCACCAATAACTGGTGGCACTGAAAGTCAAACCAAGGCCTTTTAATTATTAATCCATACATTATTGATTTTTCCTGTATTTTAATTTTATAATCCAAGCCCCTTGAGACTTTCTATTGAGTACATTTTAACCATTCCATATTATACAAGCAACATTTATATCACTCACTGCTATCGAGTCGAAGTCGAATGGGCCTCGTAGTGATCCCTCCTTGGTTTTCTGAGGTGGTATCTCTACAGTAGATTGCCCAGTCCTTCCAAGGAGTGGCTGCTGGGTTTGAACTGCCAGCCTTCTGGCTAGCAGTCAAATGCCTTAGGCACTATGCCACCAGAGCTCCCTGATATTTATATAGCATTACCTATATACTAACCCTGATTATAAGGGTTGTTTGTATATCAGTCATCCAAACATGCTATGAAGATAATGAATCATTAATTCATTATGTGACCTTGAAGAACTCACTCAACCTTTTTGAACCTCAGTTCTCTCCTCTGTAAAATGAGTAGCTTGGACTAAAACAAAGATAACAAATGGATGTAAATTGATATTTCAATTCTGACCAATTGGTCACAGCTTTACCAGGAGTCAAAAGTATTCAGAGGCCAAGGTGACACTCATCAGTAATGAGGGCAATGATCAAGTTGTGATGCCTATCAAGACTGCTAACCAGAAGTCTGGCAGTTCAAACCCACCAGCCACGCCTCAAAAGGAAGATGGGCAATCTACTTCCATAGTGATACCACCTCAGAAACCCAAGGAGAGGTTGCTATGAGTTGGGTCAGACTCGATAGCACATAACAACAACAAAACAACAACATCAATAGCAGGTAATAAGGGAATATACAACACATGCTACACATTTGTTATCTATGAACCCCATGTTCCCCAAAGACTTTCTTAGCACTAACATACTGTGTCTCCCAAAACCTTAGTCTTACTAATCATCATATGCAGACACTAAGCACTAAATATAGATTATTAAATATACTGCCACTAGCCTTTACTTCCTTTCTCTCTTTTCTAGCTTCTAAGAGTTCCTAAAGAACAACTTGCTTTTACCTATCATTAAGATATATTAGGGTCTGAATGATTCACTTCCACATTGAATGCATAGTGTTTTCATGGAGATGCTACAACCTCCTCTGCTAAGTCTCTGACAGCTGCCGAAGTCCACACATGGCACTCTGCTGCTCTCCCACTTTCAGCCGTGAGTTTGCCAAAGCAAGACCAAGAAATAGTTTGTACCTTTCTAGTCAGCTGTTATTTCTAAGTGCCAACACCTCCTAAGCAAAAAATAGAAAAACTACAAAGGATGACTATTTTATGGAGATGACAGAGCAGCATTTACAAAAAGAGTTGGTGTTTACAGATGGAGCACCTTATGGCCTCTTAGTGACTCTGACCCAAGTTTGGCTCCTATCTCTACCATCCATGCTTTGTTTATTTGTATGTCCTACCTCTACCTCTTAACTCCTACAGAGAATTCTACACCTCTTGACCTTTTGAAACTGCCAGGAAATTCAACAAGGAGTCAAAATAGATATGGTTTTAAATCTTGACTCCACTGCTTAATAGCTGAGAAAATGAATAGGCCCCATTAATATCTCAGCTACTTCATCTGTAAAATGGGGATCATTACAGTACCTACCTCAAAAGATATGACTGTGAGAAATAGAAACCAATGGATAAAATACCATAAAGCTATGAATTACCTTTTCTTCATTGCTGTGACTTTTTTCCCTCATACTCCCCACATTGTCTCCTAACCATTACTCAGAAACATTTTTATTCTTGAAGATAAAAGTGAAAATCAGTTGTTGAACTCATAACTGTTATTAGAATCAAACTCCATAGCTTCCCTTCAGGCTTCCTGGGCATTACACAGTACCTGACTTTTAAAGACTCTTTAAGATTGAGATGGGCTTTGATACAATAGGCAATTGCTATTTGCCAATTCTACAGCTCAGAATAATAACCAGTGTGTTTTAAAGTTAAACAAAAGAGAGAAAGCAGTGAGTAAACAAACTATAGAATTCTCCAACAAAATTAATTCTTTATAAGTTAACTATGCTACTTCATCCTGATTTTCTGAATCACAGATTATAAACACTTACATCAAACATTTTTTTTTTTCTTTTTTAATCAACTTAGCCTTTAGAATGGCCCATAACAGAGAAGAAGTAGGAAGAATGATGTTACATCATGGGGATTGCAATCAATGTCACAAAACAAAATGTGTACGGATTGTTGGATAGAAAACAATTGGTTCTGTAAACTTTCCCAAAAAACACAATAAAAAATTTAAAAAAAGAATATCCTATCAGGATGATTTGCAAGAGAAGCCTAAGTGAGTATGACATGTTATATTTGTTTAGAGAAAACCACACTTTCTAAAGTGAAAGGACCCTATTCACAAATACACAAACCGGAACCTATTTTTGGCCTCACTGCTCATCCTGTTTCCCACTACTGAAATCAGAGCAACAATTCATTGACATCTCTGTGTTAAGCATTGGCTGGGTACTGGGGACAGAGTGATAAATGAAACTCAGTCCTTGCCTTTATGGAGCTCCCAGTATAGTGGAGATTTTGAACATCACCTGATATTTAAAACTTTTGTTATCGCATGGTGAGGATTCTCCTCTAACCTATTAATCATGCTATGAAGATTTCTCTATGAAGTTCCAGTTGAAAGTTGTAGTGTTATTCTGCCATCCTTCTATGCCTAAAACTGTATTTGTTCCCCAATACCTTTAATATTTACCATCTGAATTCCTATGGTCTCTGTATGTCTCAGGCTTTAGCAGATAACTAAAGCTTAGCAATCAATCAATCTTCATTGTGGGGTGAAGGCTAGGGGCTGGACTTTGTAAATTTATTTATTTATTAAAAAAAAATCATTTATTTCCTGAGTACAAGAAGTTGTGAATACTACTCTTCACATACCAACCTCCCGCCCAGATGTAAGAAAGTCCCCTGAACACTTCTGGAGAAGCCATGGGTAGATACCACTGAAGAAGAGCATCATGGCCCACCCACAGTGCCTTTAGAAAGCAGCCTGGCACAGAAGTGCCATTCTGAGAATTGGCCCTGCTTGAGGGTAAGATAAGATGTGACAGACATGGGGCCATTTCTCACACTTGAGAAATTAAGACCCCATGCCCCCCATCAGCTACCCAGCCTCCAGGGAAGATATATATACTCCACAGCTTTACCAGCATATAGCTTATCTTTCCAAAATCAGTTGCCATTACCAAAATCAACTTATAAAGTTCACACCTTTTCCTGGTACCATGACTGTCGAAAGCTGCACACTTGGTATTGATGGACTGTGAATGTTTCAAGGGCAGTGAGGATATAAAAGCAATGAGATTAATTGCCCTTTGAATTCAGGAGAATTCCTGAATTTTCATGACTCATGCTACACTTCTTCTGTACAGATCTGCAGATAGAAAGTAATGTTTAATAGCCCTAAATGATCTCCCCACCAAAGGACAGCCAACCACAGGCCTAATGCAAAAAGCGAACCCTTCTGCATTTGCAGCTGAGAGGGCTGATCCCATGGCCAGTTCATTAACTGGGTAAAATAATTGCCTAAAGCCAGTGAGGAGCACTGATGGCACAGTGATTAAGCACTCAGCTGCTAACCAAAAGGTGGATGGCTTGAACCCACCAGCTGCTCAATTGGAGAAAGATGTGGTAATCTGCTTCCACAAAGATTTACAGCTTTGGAAACCCTAGGAGGTGTTCTACTCTGTCCTACAGGGTCCCTATGGGTTGGAATTGACTCATCAGCAACAGGCTAAAGCCAATGTACTTTCCATAGTTATTTGTTGATTTGAGGCCCACATTGGAGGAGCTGACACTTTTACTACATTTCTTAGTTCTCTTTTCTAAATGGGAGCTCTAGTGGCATACTGCCTAAGGCATTTGACTGCTAACCAGAAGGTTGGTGGTTCAAACCCACCACCCACTCCTCAGAAGGAAGTCCCTCAGAAACCCAGAGAGGGATCACTACGGGTCAGATCCAAGTTTGTTGTTGTTGTTGTTGTTTTGTCTTTTCTAAACATTCAGACATGCGTTAGCAGTAATTATAGGCAGTGATTTAGGTCATTCCTCAATTTTTTTTTTTTTTCTACCGAATCAACCCATAGAATCTTCCCAATGAAATAACTTTGAGGTAAAATCCTTAGCTATCCTGTATTGCCTACTGCTGAAGTTTTTATATCATAAATGAAACCAGCAGACACTTGCTTTTGAACAATGTGCTTCTTTGGGAAATAAAATAGAAGATGAAATAAAAGGTACAGAAATTCTGAGTATGTACAACAAACTATTGGATAGACCCTTTCCTTGAACTAAACAGTTTTATTCTAGGTAGTAATGCTTGCTGTAGAGGCCATTGTGCTCAGTTTCCCAGTGTCAGAGTTGCCTCATAGGGCACTGCTCTGCTGTACTACAGATAGCAGGCTGCCAGTCATTACCTAGACTTATGTCTATGTGCTGTGACTAGCAAGACAACCTGACCACTGAAATACTGCTGAAGAGTTGTATGAGGATGAAGGGATTTGGGGACTGTTTCAAGAACAGAGAGCAAGGAAAATTAACCCTGAACCATGTCTGTTTCCTATGTTTCAGAACAGGGCTTGTAGCTGTGGTATATGACTGGTGGTTAGTCCACTGTAATTTTCCTTTCTTCTCTTCTCAGGAGGGCAAGAAGATCTCATTCTTTCCTATGAGCCTGTCGCAAGGCAGGAAAGTAAGTTTCCTGGAATGCTCTGATTTCTGATTTCCAGATCATAACAGGTGACACCACTGAAAGATGGAAAAAGTCAAAGACTAAAAGAAAGAAACTCTGCTTAATACTTAGTGTCTCCAGCCCAGACCCTCCTCTCTCCCTTTGCTGGTCTTATCACCAAACATAAACTTCCACGCCGAAAATGGGGAATGACAGCTCCCAAGAAGATGAGTAGCTCTTCACATGAGTGCTCCTCCATGGGAAAGAGCCCATCAGAATCACCTAGAGAGCCTGGCTACAGGATCAGTAGATAAAAGCCTCTAGGAGACTGATGACAACTCAGTATTAGATGGAATTTTGAGCAGACCTGTCCTAGGATGCAGACCATGCACCAGGAGCCTGCATGCCTTTCCGTTTACAGAGAGGCATTTATGGAGAGGCTAATGACTATTGACAAGGATATTGCAGAAGGAATTCAAGCATCAGATGAGTAGTCGTACCAAATGAACTTTAGAATTTCTTCTAATCCCATGATACAAAAGAACTGGAAAACCCCAACAGAGCAGAGAGATTATTTTGAGCTGAGAAAAATAATTATAAAAACATAAAGTATCATTTCTACTACTAATTATTTTTAAAGTCATTGTTTAAGCAATGGTCAAACAGCTGGTTTGAATTCTTTTTCTCCCACTCAGTTGACTAAATTCAGTAGTTGTTCTGATGTTGTGTGGGCATAACCTAAGAGTAAGCAAAACCCCTCCAGATGCTTCTTTTTGTTGACAGACACTACAGTTGCTTATCCCTGTTATAAATTCAAGAAGATAGGCACAACCAGACATAGTAAGGGTTAAACAAACATCAATTCTCCTATGCACTGCTGTATGGATACTTTATCCAATGAAATATTGCCCTCAGCAGTTCACCTGAAGAATCACCGTTAGAGGACAGTTTTGCAGTTGTTTTCAAGTGTCTCCTAACCTGGATCTTCTTTTCCCTCTCTGTAGTAAACTATACTCGGCCTGTGATTATCCTGGGCCCCATGAAGGATAGGATCAATGATGACTTAATATCTGAATTCCCTGACAAATTTGGCTCCTGTGTGCCTCGTAAGTATTAGTTGTATTTCCATTAGAGAAAGAAAACAAACAAGAGCCTAACCCCTTTCTGTGTTGATGTTCCTCCTGCCGTCTCACCAGTGACTCATATACCATCATTACCTATTATCTGAGCTCTTCATTTAATTTTATTTGCCTAGCACTTTTCATCTATGCTACCATATATTTTTCTCTGTTCAGTGAGTTTATGATGTTCTCTCTAACCTGACTGTGATCCCCTAGAGGACAAAGGATGGCTACTCTTCCCTTGTAATCCTCATAGCATTTAAAACAGCATAGGACTGATGACCGGCATCAGCATGTTCTGATGGACTGACCGAAATGCCACGGAGGCAGCTTCTTCCATAGAATGAAAGAGATCAGAAACAAAGCCATGTATTAAAATCATCTCAGGATGATAGAGGAAAATGAGTCAATCCAAAACCAACTAATCCTTCCCGTATGTTTTAACAGTCCCAAGTGTTGGGAAAATGAAAACAAGAAAGTTTGTTTATAAAATTTTAATCTGCTCTCTAGGCCATTACCAACTTTAATCTGCCCTTTTGGTCAATCCAGACAATCATCCAGTTTCCTGGTACCCCTGTGTGTAGTCCTGTATGGTTTTATCTGCTCTATCTCCTCCTCTCCTTCTGTACTTCACCCACCAATCCCCCACCCATCTTCACCCCCACTATGTCACAAAGAAACACAAAAAGGCAAACCTAAATGTCTATGAACAGATGAATAGATCAACAAACTGTGGTACATACACACAACGCAATTCTGTGCAACTTTAAAGAACAGCAATGAATCTGTGAAACATCTCATAACATGAATGAATTTTCTGGTGACGTAGTGCCTAAGGCATGTGACTGCTAACCAGAAAGGTGGCTAGTGGTTCAAACCCACCAGCCACTTCTTGGAAGGAAGGTTGGGCAATCTAGTTCCATAGTGATACCACCTCAGAAACCCAAGGAGGGGTTGCTATGAGTCGGATCTGACTCGACAGCAGTGAATTTTTATTTTTGTTTTAATGCTGAGTGAAATTAGTCAATCACAAAAGGACAAATATTATATGAGACCACTATTGTACAAAGTCAAGAAAAGGGTTTTACAAAAAAAAAAAAAGAAGTATTCTTTGATGGTTACCAGAGGAGGGAGGGGTAGGGAGGGTATACCACTAACTAGAGGGTAGATACATATTAACTTGAGAGAAGGGCAAGATTTAAAAAAAAAAAAAAAAAGGAAATCCATAGCCTTACACTATAGACAAGCCTTCTAGGGAATTTTAATTTTTTCAATAATTGATCTCTTAAATGTGATCCCAACAAATCTTTCTCTCACGTTCCACATTTTTTACGCTTTTTACTTTCAAACATCTCTCATATTTCAGTAGTGAAAGTATTATCTGAAATACTTAAGAATGGCAGGAGTTATATACATGCAGGACATAAATATGCAATAGGTGTATATATATATATATATATATTTTTACTTAACATTCAAAATGTTATGTATGTATTTTAATAATTATTATACCATAATTAACCTTCATTTATGGACATTCTACATTTTCTCTATTATAAATTATGAGTATATTTTTATTGTATTTTATAATTATTGCTACTTATATAAATTAATATAATAAACATCTTTAAGAATAGTATTTCATCTGAATTTTTAATCAATTATTAAGATATCTTCCTAGAAAAAGAAAAGCTGAGTCAAAGATTAGGAATATTTTAAATTTTTATTTTAGATTGTTTTTCCCTTCTTCTTACCAAGAACTTTAAGTGAAATAGTCAGAATTGGTAACTTTGAGTCCCCCTAACTGTGACGATCTTGTTTTATACATTTTTCAAATCCTTGAATATATTTATAATAGCTCTGCCTAATTTTTCTCCTGGTTATAGTACACATTTCTCTGCTTCTCCCATAATCTTTCATTGTGTGCTATGTTCTTGAGAGTCTGGATTTTGTTACTTTCCTTTATAGAATATTGAGTGTTTATTTTTGCAGACAGTAATTTACTGCAGATATGCTTGTTCTATTTGTAACTTTTTTTTTTTCTCCTTTGTTATGGTGGGTCGAGAGTAACCCTACACCTAAAATGTGGCTTTTCTAAGATCTCAAGCAAATACCAATTCTGGCTGACCAGAATGCCAGTGTCTTCTAGCACTGTGTAACTTGCAGAATCTTCTTTTGGAAATGGCCCCTGGTGAGAGAGGCGAGGTTCATGTAGAGCTGTACTAGTGTTTTTCTTTTCTCAAGGATACCACCCAGCAGTGTCTGATGTCTGAAAACAGTTGTTCCACATATTTTTTCCAGTTTTGTAGTTGTTTATAATAGGAGAAGACTAGTACCCATTACTATGTCATGGTCAGACCACAGCTCCTTCATATTACATATTTTGAAGTTTCCATATTGAGGATATGGTAGAAAAATAAGTGCAAAGGAACTGAGAATTTATGAACATAAATGCATCTTAATTTCATTATTTCTTATTTTATAAAGATACTACAAGGCCAAAACGTGACTATGAAGTGGATGGCAGAGACTATCACTTTGTCATTTCCAGAGAACAAATGGAAAAAGACATCCAAGAGCACAAGTTTATAGAAGCCGGCCAGTACAATGACAACTTATATGGAACCAGTGTGCAGTCTGTGAGATTTGTAGCAGAAAGGGTATGTTCATCAATCCTCTTACACCTCCTCTAAAGAAGACTCCAAGGTGGCAGAAGGCAGTTTTGTTCAACATTCTTTTTTAATTGCAGTTGTAAATTTTGATTAAATATTCCTTTTAAGACATCCAAGCAGAAAATCACTGTAGGGCAAGGTTCTTTATCACTGTTTAAATCTCAATAAATTATGTTGGCTAACACAAGGGAAGAGGGTAACTATAAACCTAAAGGTAATTAACATCTTGAAGTTTATGAGGATTTGCTTTGTCCTTGATTTGACTACCTGAGGCTCCAGTAAACAACACTGAATTTATTAAGAAAGATTTGTTCTTTTTTTGTTTAGATCCATATCTCAATTCCTTCTGTTAGTAAGAGTTACTTTTTTTCTCTCTGTAAACTTTCATGGTAGAAAGGAAAATAGATGTGGAGAGCCTCCCAGCCTGCTGCTGGCAGAGATTACAAATTAGAGGAAGTGAAGATGCTGTAATTCTGACCGATAATTTCTGGACAAATGGTTTGCAAATGGTTTGCACTCGACTACTAACCTAAAGGTTGGTAGTTCAAATTCACCCAGCAGATGCGAGATTTGGTGATCTGTTTCTGTTGAGACAACAACCAAGAAAACCTTATGAAGCAGTTCTGCTCTGTAACACATGGGGTTGCCATGACTAAGAATTGACTCAACAGCAATGGGTATGGAGAGATCTTAATCTCCTAATAACACATAGGAAAAAGAAAAGAGTTATTAGATAATCATAATGCAAACTTTGTTACCTTGAAATGTTCTGGCTAGTGAATGGTGACAGTATTTGAACATTATATACCTGTTGCACTTCACAGGTAGCAAACTTGAAGTGATAAAGGTTTGAAGAGTCTAGTGTTTTTCACTTAGACTTCAGGTATTCGCTGGACTCTGTTCATTTCCATGTGACTAGTAAAGATAAGTTTTTATTTCCTATTATTGATTCTGAACTGACCTTATCTGCATAATATGCTTTTTCTCTTCTTGTGTAAGTTCTTCTAGCCTCAGGGTAATGAGGCCATTTCTCTCCAGGAGGTAGAATATGATTTGGCAAATGTATCTACTTTTCCAGAAATAATTTATAAAGCAGTTCCTTGCTCTGATCACTCATTGCAGTGGAAGCCAAGTTAAATGAGGTGTGCTATAATGTAATAGGGTTTTATTTGTTAACAAACAAAAAATGTATATACTCTGTGTATGTCTCTCCCACAGCATTTTACCATATAATATTTAAGGTATCTTTTTTTGTGTCTGTTCTCCCCTAGACTGAACATATTGGGGTGAGGGCGCATACAAGCACCCAGCCGATGTTTGTGATTTATAAGTTTCATGAGAATGTGCATGGTTAAATTACATATGGCTTCATGTCTTCTTTAAGTATTCATTTAATAAAACTAAGTTTGCTACTAAAAAACATATACAGTGCCTAGCACAGTGGCACACACTTAATAAGGATGTGATAAATATTAGTTATCAACTTTTATTTATTTGTAATGATTCTTTTTGAACCTTTACAAACCCAGCATTCTCTAGCTCCTCCTAAAAAACAATTTTCTTTTGGTTAGATTATGACCCATTCTGCTGGATTAACTGTTTTTTTTTTTCTTCTCGTTCTGCCAGGGCAAGCACTGTATACTTGACGTATCAGGAAATGCTATCAAGCGGTTGCAAGTTGCCCAGCTCTATCCCATTGCCATCTTCATTAAGCCTAAGTCTCTGGAACCTCTGATGTAAGTAGAGGGCACTGGAGGTCTTCATCCCACTCCCACCCTCTGTCCCACATTACACAGCAAATCATTAGTCACTCTTTGTCACAAGTGGAAATGCCATGGTTGATTTTTTTTAAGCACTTTTCTTTCAGAAGATATATTGTATTAAAGATCTTTTGAACCTCTAGAGCCATAATGTCAATAATTCTTTAAATATCTTCACACCATTCCTTGATATTCAATTCTAGATTTTCACAATTTTGTTTTGTTTTAGAGGGGGATTGGGTTAGTTTGGATATTTTTGTTGCTGTTTATTTTAGCCTCTTTACGATGGCATTTTGCTTTGTTCTATAAAAGAATTCTGATTTTCCTTAATTAAATTCCACATATATAGGCCACTGTCCTTAAGGAAGTTTTCTTAGTAGCACAGCAGTAAAACATATAATTTAAGCCAACAGTTTCATATCTGTGTATATTTCTGAATGAGGGAAAAATGCATGATTGATTTTTTTTTCATTTTTCTTTTTGTGTTTTCTAAAAGACTGTTAAATACCAGTGAGAAACAATTAGGCAGATATGTGTGACCTGGCTGTAAAGTGACAAACCTATACAAGAATGAGGTCGCTGCAGCCACAGAGGCAACTGAGCAAAGAGGTTAAGAGCAGGGACTTAAAAAATTAGTTAGGCTAGGTTTGGTTCTATGCTCATCCACTAATTAGCTGTGTGACCTTGAGAAAGTTGTTTGACCTCTCTAAGACTCAGTTCCTCCTCTCTAAAGGAGATACGTTAATATTATGTGTCTCTTATGACTACTGTAAAGGTTGAACAAGAACATGAATGTACAGTCTTTGGCACACAGTAAGTACTCAATAGTAGTGATACCAGTTAACGAACTTGGCTGTAAATGGAAAGGTTGAAGTTCAAGTCTACCCAGAGGCACTGTGGAAGAAAGGCCTAGCAATGATTCTGAAAAAAATATTCATTGAAAACCCTCTGGAGCACGGTTGTACTCAGACACACACATGGGGTCACCATGAGTTAGAGTCAATTCAATAGCAGCTGGTTAAATGGCATTTATTATAAAAGATATAGACTTATTTTAATAGAAGAGAAATAAAACTATTTTATCATTATGTAACTCATAAACAGCAACCTTTCTAAGAGAAAACAAGAGATAAGAACACTGTCTATGTTGCAAGAGGCTTGCTTGAATATTGACTCTGTTTCTGGTTTCTAGACCTGAGATGGTTTAATCAGGTTGAGAAGAGAACTAAATACTAGGAAAGAATGTTTTTGGAAAGATCAAGAAAATGAAATTATTGCATCCCAGAAATGAAAGTAGTTACAGAATATACTAACTATTCCCTGTCTCCTCTAAGGACAAAGAAGACAAGTGAGCTACAATAGCTGGAATTATATCCTGAAAGAATAAAATTAAATACAAAACTGATCTCTGGGGAAAGTGCCATAGATGTATCTTAAAAGCAGAATATATTCTTATAAATACAAGATGGAAGAGAAGTCTTACTGGAGGAAAAAAAAAAAAAACGGAACCAGAAGGTCACTGACAGTATCATGAATTTAAGTATTAAATACACTGTGAAAAGCTTTGCCCATATTTGGCACATGGAAAAAATGTGTGTTGATAATAAAATGATGGTTCCTAGTATTATTATCCTCAATAACATGTATTAAATTTCTTCCCATGTAGGATAGTGCATTGAGCATTGCAGAAATTAAATTATCAACCACATATTTCAATACATAAAACTGATTTATATAAAGTAGCGTAACACAGAGTTACTCTGCATATAAGGCCATATAACCACTACCAGTAATGTGAACATTAACAAGAAGAGAGAAAAATTATAAAAAAATATTTTAAAGCCCATTTTAAAATCAGAAAAATAAGTGTTCTTGTAATAAACATGTAGTAGAGTAAATGGCTTCCCAAGGGAGCGAGGCCCATGGGAGAACATTAAGTAGGGGCATATTTGGTCCTGTGTGATATTGGGAGATGTTCCCATCTGGCTTTCAGTAGGAGAAGGGCTACTTCACCTGCAACTATCAGATGATTTACTTAGTTTTGCCTTGTAGCACTGTTCCAGCCTCTTATCTCCAAGGAAAATTAAACATCCTGAAAGCTACATTTAAGCTACATTTCCACAATGAGGACGATGAATCTGACATAATTTGCTGCAGTCATATTCATAGGTCTCAAGTGCAATAATAGTGACATTTATTAATAAATGCTGGATGTATACTGTCTAGTCCATACTTTTGCAAGGGTTTTCCTTCAGAAGCAAGGCTGGCATGAATTGCTTATCACCCAGACAGGAGTGAATGTTAGGTCAGCCGAAACAAACACATGGCAACTGTCACATTTAGGCATTGCTACATCATCACACACATTACTTTAGCATATGCATAGGTGACTCTTCAGAAAAACATAAAATCCAGGATGTGTATGAAAGAGAGGATCTTTTTATATTGCGCCACATGAATTCTGACATCTCATGACAATGGAAAGCTTTCCCATGCCTCTTCACCCTGCTATACCCAATCTGCTTCTATCATTTTGCTCCCATACTCTACCTTCAATTATATTATTGTTTGGGTTACCTAGTACCACTCTGACAGGACTATACCACAAATGGGATGGCTTGAAGAAACAGGAGTTTATTCTCTTACAGTTTGGAGGCTTCAAGTCCAAGTTCAAAGTGCCAGGTTCTAGGAGCGGGGTGAAAGCCCATCAGCCTTGGGCTTCAGCTCTGCCTCCTACTCCCAGCCCACTGAAACTAGAGGCTTTTCTTCACTCAGACAACTGCTGGCTGCTGAGGCTGCCAAGCCAAGGTTGACAAGTAGAAAGACATAGTCCTGATGCTACCAAACCACATGGCAGGCCATTAATTCAACTCCACTGAAAGTCCCAAGGTCGGAAGAGCATGGCAGGCTGCTGAACAACAACATAGCTACATGCAGGATTCAAGCATGCCGTATGCTAGAGACCATTCCCAAAGCTGTTTCTTATATACAGGAAGCAGACCACATACCCAAAGGTAGCTACTCAGCTGCTCACAGTAGATTCCACCATGGAGTTGACTACCAGTCTCATCATGGGAAATATTACATCCAGCTGCCCAGCCACTCAACCAGGCCTAGCCAAGCTGACACACAAACTTAACCACCACAATTATAATGATGTTTATTTTCTAGCTCTCCATTCATTCATTCACTTATTCATTCAACAAATATGTATCAAGTCAGGCTCCATGCCACATGCTAATGAGCAACCCCTCTGCCCTCAAAGAATGTATAGAGTAGGTATAGAAATAAAGCAAATTCATATATTAGAGGCAAAAAAAAAAAACCCTCAACTAAGTCATTACTACAATAAGTGCAAAGGCAATCCAAATAATATAGAGGCCAGGATGAGCTGAGGAAATCAAAAGCTCTAGGAGCTATATAATTTCTTGAGATTTGGAGCAAAGCACTATATGTATTCTCTGAAGAGTGTCCTTTGGTTTAGCCAACATCTATACTCAGAAGTGACATCCACTCATGACTTATCTACTATTAGAGTTGTTCGGGTGGGAAATTATAGACACTGTCCAACAGGACAACATGAGTCTGTTTTAGTAAAAGGAGTTCAGGAAATTCCCTCTTCTTTATATTGCAGCTTTCAGCATCATGCCCAGAACCACACTGATGTCTGCCTTCAGTTCTTGCTGCTTCTAAACATGAGTCTCTTTTGAAGGATATTAAGTCTTGGTATAATGGAAAGTCTGTCTGGCTAAGAGTAGGTTTCTTAAAAAATAAATAAAGACAAAACAGCAACCTTTAGCTCTAACCTCAGATTTACTTGGTACTTCAGTCCCTAGTCATTTGCTCTAAAAAAGGAACTGGCTGAGGATAGAATTTCCAGACCCCCATCTCTGACTTCCTAAGCAGTTTGCAAAAGCAGTAATGCTTTCAAAAATTCTGTATGTACCTGTGTTGTGTCAACCAAGCAACCAAAATGTCTTTGCTTTTGGCTGAATTTGATCAGCTCAGCACAGTCACAATTGTATTCCTGTAATGATCAGAGGCTCCGATTGTCAGTCTCTGATAATAAAATGTCTTTGATTAGAAAATAATGGAAAGATAAAATAAATTTTATTTAGTAAGGGCAATTTGTTTGGCAGGCAAAATTTGAATGCATGGAGACACAGAAACATAAAACTGCTACAGTTAGGAGTCAGTTCATTAGGTTACTTTAAATTTCCCTCTCATTTTGATTTCATTCCCTCGGGCTACCATAACAAAGTACCAAAACATGGGTGACTTTAAAGAACAGACTTTTTTTTTCTCGCAGTTCTAGAAGCTAAGGTCCAAATTTAGGGCATCAGCCATACTGATCTCTTCCAGGATTCTCAGAGAGGAATTTTTCCATGTCTCTCTCCTGGCTTCTGGTTTCTGCTGGCAACCTTGGCATTCCTTTGCTACTTATAGAAGGAACCTCACATGCCTTCTTACCGTGTGTGTGTGTGTGTGTCCTTTTATCAGAAGGGATTAGGGGGCTAGAACTACTCTAAACCATAAACCAAAACTCACTGCCATCAAGTCGGTTTCGACTCATAGCAACCCCTTCTTGGGTCTCCGAGGCATTATCACTACAGTAGAGTGCCCAGTCTTCCTTCTGAGGAGTGGCTGGTGGGTTTGAACTGCCAGCCTTCTGGTTAGCAGTCAAATGCCTTAGGCACTACACCATCTACTCTAGTATGAGTGAACTGCTAATGTTTTCAAAGAAACCCCCTATTTCCCCAAACTAGGCAACATTCACAAGACTTCAACATATCTTTTTTGGGACAGAATTTAATCCATCACAGTCCTTAAGATTAAGTTGTGTTTAAATAATCTTATAATGATTTGATAAGCACATGGGTAATTTTAGCAATTTGTGGTCTCCCAAAACACATACTAACAGTAACACAAATGAAATCATGTGTGAGTTGGAAACAGACAGACAGTAAGTACTTCCAGCCATGACAGCAAGTTTATTAACCCATCCAAGCTTCGGTTTCTTCATCTGTAAGATGGAAAAGATTCTACCTTTTATATATACATATACATATACATACATATACATATATTATATATATATATATATACACACACATATATATGTGTACGTGTATGTATATGTGTGTGTGTGTGTGTGTGTGTATATATAAACTGTTGTGGGAGGCTTACCTGAGTTGAGGTATTCATAAAATGTTACTACCCAATGCCTGACTCAGAATTAAGTGCTCAGGATTATTCATTCAACAAATATATGTATCAAGTCAGGCTCCATGCCACATGCTAATGAGCATATATATACATATACTATACACATATACTATATATACATATATATGTGTACGTGTATGTATGTGTGTGTGTGTATATATATATATAATGTTGTTTTTTCTTATTTTTAATGTTTTTTAGAAACAAGTTTGAGGACTAGAGGAAGCTTTAATTCTATTAGCTGTTCTGGGTTCTCTACTCTTAATACACTTTCATTGGACACTGATTAAACATTATGTGTGAATTCTTATCACTTGATAAGTAATTTGTATGCAATTAATGATACACAATGGTTGACAGACTGATAGAAAGGAAGGGAGAGAGTCCTGGGCATAATTCCTTTAGAGCATCTCCTATCAGAACACAGAGTATCAGAGATTCTTTCTTAGGGAGCCCCTCTAACTTTGCTCACTATTTGAATAAATTATGTGCTTACAGTCTATTTGAAAATATTTTGATCCCAGTGCTTTTGATTGTTACATTCTCTCTGTGCCCATTTTAATTCAAGGCTCCTTCAGCAAATCTTTGAGATATTGTTTGATTATAAAATCAGAGGTAGTTCAGGGCTCTTGTACTATAGACATGCCTTGCTGTTTGCAGACATTGAGTAGCAAGAGCTACAGAATGCTTCTTTAGCCTGGAAGATATACACACCTAAGGGGCCTGTGCCATTCTAATTCTTTGGAAGCACTTTCTGTGTTTCTTCATTCTCCATGTTTCCTGCTATACATTGAAGATGGCCAGAAGCTGTAACTCAAAACCTAACTCACTGCCACTGAGTCGATTCCAACCACCAACCCCCATGGAGTTCCAAAAGCTGTAAATCTTTATGGAAGCAGACAGTCCCATCTTTCTTCTGCAGAACGGCTGGTGGGTTTGAACCACTGACTTTTTGGTACTAACCAAATGCCTTAACCAGTACGCTACCAGAACTCCTTAGCAACCCTAAAGAAGGGTGGAAAAGTAGAAAAAAATTAAAGCATTTTGAAAGGCAGAGAACAGTCAAGTCTAGTTCTTTCAAATGTGGTAAGGCTCAGTAGGCTAGAATGCACCTTCATGTCTCTCCATCTCTTCTCCCTCTGATCTCCCCTGGAAGATTTCATTCAATTCTATATCCTGCATTTAAAAGAGGATGAGATAGACTACAACAAGATCCAAAGAAGAATGGTCAGGAAGGTTAGGGTTTGGAAATTGTATCCAATGAGGGAGCAGATCAAGAAGGACAGTTTATTCTGAAGAAGACTTAAGAGATACATGAGCACTTTACCTAAATACTCTAAGGTCTGTCATGGATGAAGGAAGTTTATTCCTACTCTGCATGACTACAGGGGACAGAACAGGGACCAGTGGCCAGAAACTAGAAAGAGATAGATTATTATTTAATACAACATGGAACCAAGAGATAGCCACCTGAGTGAGCTCCCTGGTAGGGGGTCCCTTATTGCTGAAATTATCTCAGCAAAAAGGAGTTGTGAATGAAGACTAGGAAGCTACTGCTAAGATTTTGGTATGCCTCCTGCAGAAGTCATTTTTGCTATATATTTCAATTTTTCAGGATTTTATATATTCTCTTTGTTTTCTAACTAATACAAAATCTTCACTTTCCCAGGGAGATGAATAAACGTCTAACAGAAGAACAAGCCAAGAAAACCTACGATCGAGCAATTAAGTTAGAACAAGAATTTGGTGAATATTTTACAGGTAAATTCATTATCCTTATATTGTTTAAAAAAAAAAAAAAAGGTAAACCTGGACCTAAAACTTTCTGTTGAGAATCCCTAATATCTGTTTCTTGGGGGGAGTCTCCCTCTGCTTCAGCCATTTGATTTAGAATTCTGGGTTCAGCTGCAGCAGCTTCTGGGTTTCCCACTGATTCTAACAAACTGCTTTCTTTGCTATGAGATTAAAAGAAATGGATGGTGCCTGGTTATCATTACTGAACATTTGGATTAAAGATTCTATAGAAGAATCCTCATCAAAGAGGAGGATATGGAAAGAATTTCAAATTTTCCTGGACTGCAGACTCTTTGGAGCCAAGGGGGCTGGATGAGCCCAGAAACTGTTGTCCTGTGATAATCCTTAAAACTCAAACCAAAAATATCCCCTGAAGGGGTTAAAATCATGGTCTAAAACCAATAAGAGCATAACTAAAAAAAAAAAAAAAAAAACCAACTCTGCCTTGAGTATTACACTCTTTGAAGAGCTATGTATATGGGACCAAAATGGCAAGAGCCACTCGTAAGATTAGATAGGAATCTTAGGGTGTGTACACATTGGTGTGCATATTCTCAGCAATAACAAAATCAAATTTTTAAAAAAGTAAAGAAAACCTATAAGTAGCAAAAAGCCATTGAATTATTTCCCACTATTAAGGTGTCTTTTAGACATTTATACTTAATTAAACTGTCTCCATGATATCATCAGAAAACTTGGAAAAAGAAACTCAGGCTGAAAGAGGGCAGTATGCAAAGCGTCTACTCTTGACAAGCAGTCCTAGGACCTCCATCCTCTACTTAAGAGACTTACAGGTTTGTCCTTCAGCAGCAACATATGAATACTATGCATGAAGAATTTCCCTTTCGATTTCATGTCCAGTTTCAATGCCAAACTTTTTTTTTCTTATTTTCAATATTTCTCAGAAACAAGTTTGAGGACTAGAGGAAGGTTTAATGCTAGTAGCTGTTCTGGGTTCTCTTATTACACTTTCATTGGACACTAATTAAACATTATGGAGTTTGCCTTACAACTGAATATTCATGGTTTAAAATGAGAACTTTGATCTTGAATTATCATTTATACTACAGTTTTTTTGTTTTTGTTTTATCTTATTAAGAATATAGAAAGATCCAGTGACTTAATAGTTTGTAAATATGTTGAATCAGGCAATGTTAAGTAGTTTCTGTAAATAACAGAGATATGAATTATATTTTACCCTATAAGTATACCCACACAGGAACATTAAATAAAAACAATGTAATTTTGATCAGTGGCTTTTATTCAATAATAAAATATAATAATCAGTATACACTAAAGGTTACTTTTTAAGATATAACTCAGGTATCAGCAGCAGCTCATGTAAACCATATAGTCAGATGTATGGTATCAACCTATTTTTCAGAAATTTTTTCTCAAAGGAAATGAAATGCACTTAAGACTATTTTAAGTGACTTGATACTTTAGGCAATACACAAGTTGGCCAATTGGTTTATGTTTCTTCCTCTTTGTTTCTTCTGACCATATTCTCAATATGCATAAACCTATAAGATAAAATTTCAATTTAACAGATTTCTTGAAGAATGAGTGAGGTCTTTTATTAAAATTTTTTTTGGAATTCTCATAAAATGGCACTGTGAGCAGGTCTAGGATCTCAAGCCTCCCACATGAACACCAAGAAAAGCAGCAAAAATCTGTATCCAACCCTGTAAAAACTCTGTAGGTAGGCAAAGGATGACTGCAAGGACAAACTAAAACAAGGGTAAATTTCAAACAGCAGGAAAATCGCTTCTTTTGCTGTCTCTGCTTCTCTCTCTCCTGTGGTAGCAGACAGCCACAGCAGAGCTGCAGCCATGTCCTCAGCCAATCCATGGTGCTCCTGTGCCCTGAGAAAGGCCCAGATATCTGGTCCAGAACTAAATAGGGTGGATCTCTCCAGCGACTGTTTAGGCAGGGTTTATGTTCTGACCAGCCTGAAGTATTAGGCCTCGGTCTGACCCAAATCATAGCTCTCACAGACCATCAGAGGTAGTGGTGAGCAAAGACTGAAGGCTGTACTAGCCTGAGGACAGAGTGTTCAGAGTGTCTGTTCTGATCCATCTGAAAGCTTTCTGAAGGACCTTTTATCATACTTACTCAATCTGTATTCTAAGCAGATAATCTGAGAATCTGGGAGCTCTCGTGGCATAGTGCCTAAGCATTTGACTGCTAACCAGAAGGCTGGCAGTTCAAATCCACCAGCCATTCCTCAGAAGGAAGATTGGGTGATCTGCTTCTGTGGTGATACTGCCTCGGAAACCCAAGGAGAGGTCACTACGAATTGTAGATGACTTGATGGCACATGACAACAATCCAAGAATCTAGACTATATGAAGAAGAGCATGGCATCAGGATTATAGGGAAGACTCATTAACAACCTGTGATACACAGATGACACAACCGCACTTGCTGAAAGCAAAGACTAGAAGCACTTACTGATGAAGATCAAAGACTATAGCCTTCAGAATAGAGTACACCTCAACATAAAGAAAATATAAAAAGAAAAATCCTCACAACTGGACCAATAAACAACATCATGCTAAATGGTCAAAATATTGAAGTTGTCAAAGATTTCATTTTACTTGGATCCACAATAAACACCCATGGAAGTAGTCAAGAAATCAAATGACACATTGTGTTGGGCAAATCTGCTCCAAAAGACCTTTTTAACATGCTAAAAAGCAAAGACATCACTTGGAAGACTAAGGTATGCCTGACCCATGCCTGGTACTTTCAATCACCTCATATGCAAGCAAAAGCTGGACAATAAATAAGAAAAGCAAAAAGAATTGATGCATTTGAATTACAGTGTTGGCAAAGAATATTGAATTTTCCATGAACTGAGTGAAGAGTAAACAATCTATATGGAAGAAGTAGTCCCAGAATGCCCCTTAGAAACAAAGATGGGGAAACTTTGTCTCACATACTTAGGACATGTTAAGAGGAGGGCCCAGTCCCTAAAGAAGGACTTGCCTGGTAAAGCAGACAGTCAGCAAAAAAGAGGAAGACCCTCAACAAGATGGATTGACACAGTAGCTGCAACAATGGACTCAAACTTGTGAAGATGGCATAGGAAGAGGCATTGTTTCATTCTGTTGAGCATGGGATCACTATGACTTGGAACTGACTCAATGGTACCTAACAGCAACAAGGCAAAACTGTCCTTCAAGAAGGATTTTAAAAAAAAAAGAGAGAGAGAATAAAGAATAATGAAGAAAATCAAAGACATGGGAAATAATTAGTCCGAAGGACTCATAGACTACATGAATCACAGGCTCCACATATCAGACCAGAAGTAGATGGTGTTCGGCTACCCATGCTCTTAACTGTTCTGAAAGGGATCCCAGTAGGAGGTCCTGGGTAAAGTGGAAGAAAAATGTGGAGCAAAACTCAAAGGAAAAAAAAAAAAGGCCAGTCTTACTGGCTTGATAGAGACTGGTAGAACCCCCAAGACTACAGGCCTCAGACACCCTTCAAGCCTGAACTCACCCCCACAGATCACCTTTCAGCCAAACAACAGACAGCTTATAAGGTGAACAATAGCACTTGGAAGGTACCCACTCTGTAGAACAATCAACCATGTGAGATTAAAGAACAAATCAACCATATGAGATCAAAAAGGCAGTATATTCCCAGGGATAAAGTTCAGAGGGCAGAAAGGAATAGGAAAGCACAAATGGAAATGGTAAACACAGGGAGGAAGTAAGAAGAGTGCTGTTACATCTGGGGATTGCAATCAATGTCACGAAAGAAAATATATATGAATTGTTGAATGGAAAACCAATCTGCTCTGTAAACTTTTACCCAGATCACAATAAATAGTTTAAAGGGGGAAGGGGCAAAATTAAGACATTTCCAGGTAAATGAAAGCTGATGGAGTTTATTACCACTAGACCTGCACTATAAGAAATAGTAAAAGAAGTCCTTTAGATTAAAAAAAGACGACAACGACGACACTAGACAGTAATGTGAAGTCATACACAGAAAAAAAGAACTCTATTGAAGGTAAGCTCATGGACATGTATAAGAGCCACTTTTAAGGTAATTTTGGTTGGATAATACTAGTAGTTTTGTCCACATTTTGCAATGAGAAATGCATAAAAATAAGTTTGTTACAGGACACATGATGTATAAAGATGTAACATGACAACAAGATACATGGGGGAGGGGAAGGAATAGAGTTTTTGTATGTTTCTTAAATTAGTATCATTTTAAACCAGGTTGTTATAAATGTATTACTCATGGTAACCAAAAAGAAAATATCTAAAAGGTATAAACAAAAGGAAAGAAGAATGGAATCAAAATGGTTCACTACAAAAAAAATCAGCAAAACACACTTGCTGTTGTTGTCGCTATGTGCCGTTGAGTGAGACCCGACTCATAGCGACCCCTCCTTGGGTTGCTGAGGCAGTATCACTATGGAAGTAGACTGCCCAACCTTCCTTCCGAGGAGTGGCTGATGGGTTTGAACCACCAGCCTTCTGGTTAGCAGTCAAATGCCTTAGGCACTACACTACCAGAGCTCCTGAAACACACATAATAGTAGTAGATTAGCAAATGAGGGACAAAGAAACTATAAGACACAGAAGAAACACAGGAAAAGTAAATCCTTCCTTATTAATAATTCCTGTGAATGTAAATGGTCTAAACACTCCAATTAAAGAGTATCAGAGAGAGGCATGGTAAACCAAAAACCAAACCCACTGCTGTCCAGTCAGATCTGACTCATAGCAACCCCTCCTTGGGTTTCTGAGGCAGTATCACTACAGAAGTAGATTGCCTAAACTTCCTTCCAAGGAGTGGCTGGTGGGTTTGAACCATCAGCCTTTTGGTTAGCAGTCAAATGCATAAGGCACTATGCCACCAGAGCTCTCTAGAGGCATGGTAGATAAAATAAAATATGATCCAAATATGTGCTGTCTATAGGAAACACATCTTAGGCCCAAAGACACAAATAGGTTGAAAGTGAAAGGATGGCGGGGAAAAAATTATAATAACAACTACTACAAATAGTAACAAGGAGAGAGCTATGGTGTAGATTTTAATATCAGACAAAAAAGGACTAAATCAAAAAGATGTAACAATATAAATATGTATACCCCTAATATTTGTTGTTGTTGCTGCTGCTGTTGTTATGTACCTTCGGGTCAGACCTGACTCATGGCGACCCCTCGCTGGGTTTCTGAGGTGGTATCACTAAGTAAGTAGATTGCCCAACCTTTCTTCCGCATTAATCTTTAAGTAAAAGCAAATGAAAACCATAATGAGATACCACTTCACTCCCACAAAGAGGGCTATGATCAGAAAAATGAAAAAAATTGTTAGTACGGATGTTGAGTAATTGGAACCCTCCTCCATTGCTGGTGGAATTGTAAAATGCTGCTGGCATTTTGGAAAACAGTGGTTCCTCAAAAAGTTAAACAAAATGACCATATAATCCAGTAATTTCATCCCTAGGTATATACCCAAAAGAACTGAAAGCAGGAACACAAACAGAAACCCGGACACCAACGTTTACTGCAGCATGATTCACAATATCCAAGATGAAACAACCTAAAGGTCCATCAACAGATGAAATGATAAACAAAACATGGTATATACAAACAATGAAGTATTACTCAGCCATAAGGAGAAATAAAATTCCAGTAAATGCTACAATACGGATGAACCTTGAAAACATTATGTTGAGTAAAATCAGTCACAAAACAATACTGTATGATCCACTTATTTGACTTATCTCAAAAACCAAACTAAACTCAGTGCCGTCAAGTCGGAACTGACTCATAGCAACCCTTCCTTGGGTTTCTGAGGCGCTATCACTAGGGAAGTAGATTGCCCCAACTTCCTTCCGAGGAGTGGCTGGGGGGTTTGAATCACCAGCTTTCTGGTTAGCAGTCAAATGCCTTAGGCACTACAACCTATCTAGAATAGACATATAGAGAGAGCAAAATTCATTAGTGGTTACCAGGAACAGGAGGAAGGAGGGAGTTATTGTTTACAGGCACTGACTTTGTTTTTTTTTTTTAAAAAAAAAAAAACACTGCCATTGAGTCAATTCTGACTCATAGCAACCCCCAACCCCCACTGGTTTTCTTTCCAAGGCTGTAAATCTTTACAGAAGTACACTGCTTCATCTTCCTTCTGCAGAGCAACTGGTAGGATTTGAACTGCTGACCTTCTGATTAACAGACAAATGTCTTACCCACTACACCACCATAGCTCCTTGACTTTGTTAAAGGTGATAGAAAAATTTGGAAATGGATAATTGTGATAGTTGCATAGCATGATGAAGATAATTAATGTCACTGAATTATACATGTTAAAAATGTTGAAATGACAGGTGTTTTATTACATATATTTTTACAAAAAGTAAAACACTAAAGTTTCTCCTAAAACTCATACTGTTTCCTGTGTCTAAAATATTTGAATTTCTACCCTGCCAAAATAAGTATATTATAGAGCAAAAAAAGCCAGCTTTCTTTGATACACAGGGATTCCCAGTCTGAAAACTGGTCAGGGCCTACCTCAGAGTGAAATATTTGTTAAATAAATGAATGACTCGTTGTCTAGAATTACAGACAGGCATGTATAAAATGTAAAAACTGGGATGTATTATTACTAATCCAAGATATGCATTAAAAGCATTTTTTAAATTGTTAATGTGAGCTTGCTTATGTGACTTTTCTGCTTTTTCTTAGAAATCATAAGGAATATTAAAACTCTAAATGAGCTGTGTGTCATGATTCGAATTTCTGCTGTGTAAGTGATGATTATTCCTCACTTAGGAAATGATTCCTAACCCTTAGTGCATTTGCTTTTTCACAGCTATTGTCCAAGGAGACACCTTAGAAGATATATATAACCAATGCAAGCTTGTTATTGAAGAGCAATCTGGGCCTTTCATCTGGATTCCCTCAAAGGAGAAGTTATAAATTAGCTACTGCACCTCTGACAACGACAGAAGAGCATTTAGAAGAACAAAATATATATAATATACTACTTGGAGGCTTTTATGTTTTTGTTGCATTTTATGTTTTTGCAGTCAATGTGAACTCTTATGAATGTACAACACAAACTGTGTGAAGCCATGAAGGAAACGGAGGGGCCAAAGGGTGGGACAGAAAAGACACTGAAGTATGCAGGAAGGTTTTGGTTTGCTCAAAGTGCCAGGTGTAGGGATGAACCTCTGACAGTTTCCTGCCCAGGAGATGGGCAGCCTCCTCACCCTAGCAGATGTCCAGTGCTGATTTAGCTGCTGAGCTCTCTGTTTTTCGCTTTAAAGAAAAGTTGCCAGCACCTGAACCTCACAACCTTAGTATTACCCACATCTGTAATTGGTACACTTTGAATTTTATAACTATGCACATCCTTTGATTTCTTAAAAAGAAAACAAAAGAAGGAAAAAAGAAAGGAGTCCCTTTGGAGACAGTATAATATCAGGGAAAGATAAGTGCGTAGTTTCTTTGACTGGCATCTGCAAAGACAAGCAATTCATAAAATTTGCAAGAGTATGGAGGACTGACCTTAAAAAAGGAGGGAAATCTACCTGGGATTAGCTTTATGATTATGGATTGTCTATTTTGCCATTTATAAACTGAAAGAAGGCACTAAAGATGAGAATAATTTATACAATAAAAAATATATTAAATGTATAGAAATGAATTTCTATAGGCTAAAAAAAGTTTTGTGAAATATTTTGTAAAGACTAATTAACTGAAAGACTAAATGTATGCACTCTCAACAGATGATCCAATTCAAGACCTGAAAGTTGCACTCTCCCTTTTGTTGCCAACAAGCGATCCATTAACAGCACCCAAGTTCCTTCCAAAGTCTGACAAAGACTTCTCCCTCACTATCCTCCCATGATCTCCCCTCCACACTAAACGATACACCCTCATGGAGCACATTCCTTAAATAATTGCCCTCTAATGAACACTTTTGGAAGAACCTTTGGTTAATTAATAGATTTTTAAGCAGATGATATTAAGGGAAGCTTTTGCTTTTCTCAATTAAACAACCTGGGCCTGCTGTGCAAATAGTTGAATAAGAACTCGTTCCTAGTTACTTACATGCATTTCTTAAAGGATCTTTTAGTATTTTGACCAACCATAGTGATTAGCATTATTATTTTTTATTTTGTTTCACAGAGTACTTGAGGGTTTTGTAACAGCCAGAGATGGTACACAGCCATGAGGAGATCTGTTCCAAGATACACTATTTTTTTGAGGAAGAGTAAAAAGATGTATATAGGTGGAGGGTGAGGGGTGCAGACTTTTGTTTCTGTGTGCAGGGCAAAGAGAAAACTGCAAGGGCAAAACAAATACTTTGAGCTCAACCAATGCACTGCCTTTCCTGGGGCTGTACCTGGACCAAGTTTATTTATTTATTTATTTTTAAC